CCAGGCTTGGAAATTTCAAGTATAAGTTAGTTCTTTAAAACTGTTTCATTAAAAATTCTCAAAGGATAAAATATTTGTCTGGAATCTCATTTTTTGCTTTAAACCAATTATGGGCAGCTTGAATGCACTTATAAAAATGTAATAATATTGATTAGATGGCACATGCTGCCATCTTTCACTGTATATGTAATGACACATTTCAGAAGTGAATAGGATAATCCAAGAAGAAATGTATACATTGCACAATCATATTCTAGGATTTTCTATATGTCTGCCACATAGCTGATGCATATTCATTACATTCTTGATCAGCTGTTTTCTGCAACGGAACAGTTTTTAGCTCTCTAGCCTCATCAAAGTCTAATATTTCAATTTTTTAAGACTTACCTTGCCTACTCTGGTATAGTTACATGTGAAAAGAAACCAAGACTTATTTATCTTTAGTCAACAGTTCTTAACATTATTCAATGAATGATTTTTAATTACAATAATTAAGAATCAAAGTAGCTTAATAGTAGAGACCTTTAGCTCCATTCACCCATAGTTGAGTACACATCAACATAGTCTACGTGTTACAGACTCTAGGTTAGAATATGTTATAAAATAGGCATACAATTAAAATTTGCATTTATATTTCTTTCATACTATAGTCAGTCAAAACCTGCAAGATCAACTATCCAATTATTGCCTGCACTGCATAAGCATCATAAGACAGAAGCTGAGAAGGTGTTTTACCAGGAAGACAGACCTATCTCGTTAAAGCCGCTGTAGCCCAGCTCTTGCCTGCTCAGTCCCAGATCTTCCAGATCCATGCACTTAAATCCTGGGGGACACTGGTAACCTTCTTCCAGCTCGGGAGAGCAGTGCGTATCTGGAATAGCTAGACTATTCCAGGTTACATTCCTGGGAACAACACAAAAAAGGGTTAGAAGCTGGATAACTGTAAATGTTGATTAAATGCGTAGTGTAAGCATTTCATTAATAACTGCTATATATGAATGCAGGCTTAAGATTGGTGATTCATGAATGGCACTCATAAAATAATTGATGTATTAAACATTGTTAAAGAAACGATACTTGATTCATTCCCATAACAGCTCCCCGGAAGAGTATGACCATCACTATTTTTGTTATTAAAGGTTAAGGTCCAGGTAAACGAAGACAAAATTGTCCTATAGATTTGTAAATAGCTTGTCTGGAGATTTCTGGTTATTCACAAACTTCTTTTCCTACTATAGACACAAATTGCATTTCCCCCCATAATCTTATAAATAGTTTGATCTTCTGCTATGTCGCAGAGGTGCATTTCAGGTAGATACCAGATAAATCAAGAGAGATTGAAGGAACTAAATGCATCACCTTAGAAAGAAAGAGATTGTAAGGTAACCTGTTGATAACTCTAGGAATATGAAGGTCTTTTGGGTGGATAGTGACAAAACGAGGACAGTCTGGAAATTAAGTTGAGGTAGAAGGATTTAGGTATGTAATAGCTTTCTTTTTCTTTTTCTTTTTCT